TAACACACCATGCGCTGAGTATATTTGGACAGTGGAGATTATGTTTGTCATTGCAGGGATGCAGCCCATCGTGTCCATCCCCTGGCGGGTCAGGGAGCCAACCTGGGCTTAGGGGATGTGGCTTCCCTCACGCGGCTCCTCAGCCAGGCGGCCTTTAACGGGAAGGACCTGGGTCAGTGAGAACTCTAAACACAAGCGCTGCAACTATAGTGCAGTGGTTTCCCTTAAGCTCTTTTCCACAAGCTCAAGTGCACGTTGTTAACCTGAATTATAAAAAGCATCTGCTTTTTCAACGAATCTCATTTGATGTTTTCCTGCGCCGACTGCCAGGACGCTGGCACAAAAGTTGCTTTTTATGAAAATGAAAATCCCGTTGTGTGATATTGTTTGTTTTTCCCACCATTTAAATGTTCTCAATTCAAAATAGCACCACCGCTTGATGCAGGAAACATATGAGCGGCCCACGCAGATTCACTGCGTGTCCTCTGTTTTTAACCCACAGTCTTTGTCCGTCCCTGCAGGAGCAATTCAGCACTTGTTGGAGTACGAAACTGACAGACAGAGACACAATCTGCCCATGATGGCAGCCATCGACCTCATGAAACGCCTGTACTCCACCAACTCTGCTCCTGTGGTTCTCCTACGCACCTTCGGTCTGCAGGCCACCAACATGCTCCCAACGCTCAAAGTAAGATCTCTCTCCACCCTCTTCTTCTCCCCCCTCTTCAGAACACGTGCTCCAACACACCAACATCATCCACCTGTCCGCCTTAAGGACACACATCCAACATCATCCACCTGTCCGCCTTAAGTTCCGCCTCCGCTCCCTACCCCTGCTACCTCCCTCATTTCTGATTACACAACATGTTACTTAAGCGCTGTCTATAATTTCTGGGGTTTGAACCTACTACTATGGCATCTAAGTTTAGCCCCAAATTTAGTGTTACCAAAAGTGTGTGTGTGGGTGGGGTGCAGGGCTGGCCCCAGGGCAGTGGACAGCAGTGTTGGCTTGTGTTTTCACACCCCTTTTACTACCAACCACTCATGTGAAGTGACTTTATTTTCTACTAAGTGATTCAGACCAGTGCCAGTGTAACTGGTTGTGGAGGTATTTGATTGTGTGAGGTAGAGGTGACTTTCTCTACGTTAAATTATACAAATTTTAAGACACTGTTGAAGATCCTGGTTTGTTTCAGCCGTTGTCTCTTTTGCCTCCACAGGAGCAGATCATGTCTTTTGCAAGCAAGTGACGCCTTTGACACACGGCGGTTGTTCATAGATCTTCCAAAGACTATGGAGCTGTAAAAACGTTTGACTGTAAAAAATATCAAATATATATTTTACTCTATTGTGACTCCCTGTGACTATTTTTTTTCTTTTTAAATCACTTTGTTTTATTTGGATTTCGGCAGTTTAAATCCACATTGAGTTTAGAAATTTAAGAGACGTTCAAGATTTAAAAAACAAACAAACTATTAGAAACTTAAGAGAGGTTCAAGATTTAAAAAACAAACAAACTATATTTTATTTTCTCAACCTTCCTTCCTCAACCCACAAAAGAAAATATTTTAAAATTAGCAAACAAATGTAAACAAAGTTTAACCAAACTCAAACACAAACCTTTTAAAATGAATGAATATTCTCTAATGTAACATCTCATTCTCAAAAAAACTTAACTTGTGTTGTTTTAAATATTTTTTTGTAAACCTTTTGACTTAGTCTTGTATTTTCATCCCTAAGATAAATGGAGATGGCTTTCCTTATGCTAGCTTTAGCGTTTTGTGGCCAAGTGATAGCTTTTGTTTTTTTAACTGCTATTCTGTTATTTCTACGTTTTTGGCATGGTGCAGTTACAGCAGCAAACAGTTGTTCCAATAATTTCATTATGAATGCCTTCAAGAGCCTTGTATGTGGAAGAAATGGACAAAAGTATAAGGTAAGAAAACATTTTTGATTGAAAAGTTTTGTTGCAATGTGTTGAAAATGTCACAATGTGCAAAATACATTTTTTATCCTCTTGAAATGTTTGCACCTAATGCCCATATATCAAACTTATGGCCCGTGGGACAAATATTGCCCACCACATAATTTTATGTGGCCCTACCGAGCTGAACATTGGTGGTTTTAATACAAATGTCTAGAGTATATAATTGTAACTACAGTATAGAGTGTATACTAATATTCAATGTGTGTATAACTTGTATCTTGTGCCAGTAATTCACAGCTTTGCTTGGATGGTACGGTGTGATGATACTAATGTACCGTAGAGAACAGAACGTAACACCAGACATGGTCACATTTTCATGTTTTATTAAAACATACATGTATAACATACACTTATTCCAATGAACATAATCAACATCAATGTACATATTGTCAGCCATCCGGTTATTCATACTGATGAAAACTGAAGCAAATGTGCAGCATATGGATTTTACAATGTAAAGCAGTTCCTGTCAGTTCCTGTAGTTCACTATAATAGAAGTCATGTATATACAACAGTAGTTATGGAACACGTTGAATACTAAAGAGTCTGCAGACACCTTTGTTTTTGTTACACAGAAAGTCCAAGAGTTTATATTGGATGATAATTACATAAAACCTTTCAGTAAATTAAATATTTATACAGTTCACAAGGAGAAAAAAAAGACAGGATGGTAATATTAAAGTTTTCAGTAAAAGAGCCATATGTTTTAACACTTTGTTGTAGGTAATTACGGGTGACATTTTGGTTGTTATTTAATGGCTGTTAATTACGTTGGTGGATGGACCATCTCTTGATGAGAGGTTCCTCTTGTGCTAGTCTAAATATAGGTCGGAAGAGGGGATCCTGCAATTTCTTCCTGCTTAATAAGGTCTTTTCACTGTAGACAAAACAAACAATAATGGCCAACCTTTGAAAACAGGCATTAGTCTCCTACTTGTAAAGGCTGTAACAGCAGAGTCTGCAGGGACAATATCCCCGGTGGGCTACGTTGGACCCTGGTGTCATGATAGGGCAAACACAAATGATGAATATGTACAAATCATGAGTCGATATCAAGGCGTCAGATCACGTCGTAGCTACAGTATCTGCAAGTAAAGTGTAATGTACAAGCTTTAGGAAGCTGCACAAATATGCACAATTTTCAATGATGCCTGACGTGTCGTTAGTTTAGGGGATTTAGGGGCTTGGGGGGGTGACTGAGTCAATGACCTGTGAGATAATTTACTACTAGTATTAAAAAGAAATAACTACTTTACACATTTTTAGATAAACACCTTTAGTTGCAACTCCAGCAACTAGAATCTTAATGGTCTTACACTGGCCTGTGTTACAGTGTGCACCAGGACCACAGTCAGCACCAAAATACAGGCTTGTTTTTGCGTCTACACCTGCGATAGGTAGGTGAGAAAAAAAATGTCTCGGACCAGACAAAAATCAAAAATGTAAACGTTTTACAAAAATAAAGTCAGCCCACTAGTAATGAGCCCCACATACAGTAGAAATAGCTGGCCTTAGAAAAATATAGTGATTTTTTTTTCTCAAGAGTTCTCAGAGAGACCTCGGAATGCTGAGGTTGAGGAAGTGTAAGGAGGAGGAATAGGAAGAGGAGTAGGGATTGGCTTTGTGTGAGGGGGAAGAACTGATGGAGGGTGGATACAGGAAGGAAAGCCGCAAAGTGACAGACTGTCCCTCTCAGTGCTGGCGGCAGAGACAGCAAGCTGTCCTCAGTGGATGTTGAAATTTCTGAAGTAGTCGAAGGTTGCCCCCAGCGCCCAGCTCGTCTCCACGTTGTTCACCTTCTTGGCTAGCTGTAAAACAGAAGAAGACAATGAACTCTGTTAGATGTTAAAAAAGCATAACCTGATTTATCAATTTTCTCCACTAGGCCTAGATGCAGTACCATTGCTGACCCCTAGGTGTTCACTTATGTATATTTTGCCCTCCTTGTGAACTTTGCCTTTTTTTCACCAATTTTTAAAACGTGTTTGTTTCGATGCTATTTGCACTAGTTCACTCTGTCACTTTGCTGTTATAAGTTTTCATTTTGAAGCTAACCCAAAATCTGCAATACCACTGCTGGCCTCTTGGGGCTCATTACTTAAAACTTTGCAGCAGTGGCAGGGTTGATCTTGCAAAAGCTATTTCCTGCCTACACTCATTCTAACATCAATTTTTTTTTTTTTTTTTTTGCTTTTCCTAATTTTGCAGGTTCTGTTGTAACCCAGCTCTGATTGGCTCACCTGCAGCACCGTGTTGTCCTTGAAGCCAAAGCCCTCTTTTAGCAGACAGGTGATATATGTCATATCCATGCAGAGGAATGGGCTGATGGCACGGTATTTGGTCATCTTGTTACACACTGCAAACACACACAAAAGCCACACAGTTTTAGACGTGACATTCACACATGTTTGACACGAAGTTGACGAGAAGACATGTTGTTGCATCGTGCAAGTCACACCTAATGATAGACTGCGTGGGATAAAGAAACGACTAGTGGTGAAGTTGCATGTTGTGGTTAAACGTCCTGTAGCATTACTCTCCGAGCATATAGAGAGACATATGGTTGTCTTCTCTTTACAGACACTGTTGAGTCTGTTTGTCTACTGTCTGTCAAAACAAAGATGTAAAATATACAAAACTGTCCTGATGTAACAGAGTTAGTCTGGAACACGACAAATACTGAATAAACCTAAAACGATTAAGGTAAGAACTAACATTTTACGCATTCCTGTCCAATAAAAACAGTAACCTTTAAGATACATTTGGAATAGGGAAAAAGAAAAAAAATTGATATTTGGCAGAATTCAACGCTGCCAAAATGTTAGATTGCTAACATGCGCTACATTCTAAAGCTAGCATCTAGCGTCTGAAATTTGTCACAAAAGTTAAGGTAAGCTTCAGCATTTTAAAAAAATCAGAATACTTAAATTAGCCACATGCTAATGATGTAAAATCCAAACTTTGGAAAGACAGCTAAATCTTAGGGTAACTAGCATTAGCTCAAAGCTAAAAATAGTCAAATGTGCTGACAACTAAAATACATTTAGCCTGTAGCACATGCTAATGAAACAATGTCTTGACTTTTAGCTATAATTAAAACAACTAAAATGAGAGAGTTTGTTTTCTTAAAAAAAAAAAAAATTTAGAGAGAACAAAGTTCATGGCAAAAACAGATTCCTGTGCTACACAAGTAAAAGAAGAAGAAGTTTCTGTTTCCAGTTTTGTTTGTCTGCACACACACAGGGAGGTGTGTGAGGGTCAGCACCAAGCTGTGGGTCGGTGGGTGCTGATGGCGGTGGATGTAACACAGTCATACACAGTGTGTTTGTGTGTCAGCATGTGTCAGGCCGCAGGTGGTGGTGTGTGGCTGTCAGGTGCCCAGCTGCCTGGACCAGACCAGACTTCTTCAGCTGAGCTGCCAGCCCGACTCCAGAGCCAGACCACGTGACCGCGTTCTCACAGCACAAAGACTACTATGTACTGTAAGTCCACCAACTCCTTCTCCATCTGCTCGCTACAAAATCTGCTTCCACTTGTTTTTTTCCAAGTGTCACATACTGGAGATTTTGTCGGTGGTGTGTATCGGTTAAACGCACTAAAACATTTTATAGTCATGTAAACATAAATTCACCCTGTAATAAACAACTTTCCTCATATAATCCATGTTCATGACACGTTTTAGCAAATAATCAGTTACATTTTACGATTGTAATAAATTCTCCTTTGATGGAGGGAAAAGCTGTGCCGGTTTGGAAACGCTGCACCAAATGTTTGGGCACAAACACACTGGTGACTGTTTGGTTGTTTTGGTGGTTTGATGAATGATATATTTAACTTTTAAGATTGCTGGTTTCAGAAACACGTCGCTCCAGCCCCAGAGGAGATAACCTATAACTCTTACCTTCCTTGGCTCTCTTTTTAAAGTCCCTGACTTCAATTGCACCACCTCGACCAGGCTCTGCAAGGCAAACGTGCAATTTGAATTCCAGCTCTGAGCTCAGGATGATAATTAACGTACAGGACAGTGGCACTGGAAGGTAACTGCTTGGTCTGTGCCCACTCACCGATGAGGCCAGACTCCACAGCTCTGTCAAAGTAGTAGGAGAACGCGTAGAAGATGCTGCTGCCCTTCACTTCGTACGGCTGGTGCACGATCCCTTTGATAACCTTCATCACTTCGTAATAACACAGCTTGTAGCCCGCGTAGCCTGGAAGACAAGAGGTTGAAGTGAACAAGTGAAACAACGTGGGCTCCGCTCAGTGAAAGGTGCATAGAAACTGCAGGGTAAAAGCATGCAGCTGTGAGAGACGGAAGCCTCAGCTTGAGGTCAGCCACAGGTTGAAACTGGGGGTTGCACCAGATAACATAGAAGGGAAGCCCCAGAAGGACAAGTTTCACACAGCCCCACGGGTATGGTGGGCACCATTGTGCAGGGCAAAACCATTTACTGACAAGTGCGACAGTAAGCACAGCCCTGCTGGGCCATCTATTTTTACCACATAATTGTGAGCGGTCCAGATCAAGCCGCTCTTTACACAAAAAGAAAAAAAAAAATAACTCGGGGACAAGCCCAGCATCTTTTGGCTACTTGACTGTGGTATGGGAGTGACTGCCTTATTTGTGAACTTAACTGACAGTTTTCCTTTCATTTAAATACAAGGTTGACTACAATATAATTGTTCAAGAGGGAAAAGACGATGACAAAACATGCATTTGGCGCCAAGGTTGGAGAAACTTCGGCAGATAAATGTTCTCATGGGAGAATTATAATACTGTAAGCTATTGTGTACCAGAATGAGAAAAGGAATGCACGCATTGCTGAATCCAAGGCCTTGGGAAGGCAATCAAAACCTCAGAGGGCTTTTATCTCACCGTCTGGAATCCCGCTAACTTTGTAGGTGGTTCCTCCAAAGCTCACATCTTCCCTGAACTTTTTTGGGAGGCAGGAACTTCTGAAGATCTTCCATTCTAGACCTGGGAAAACACAAAAGATGTTTACCATCGTCCAGGGACCGTGTTTACCAGCAAACCAGAGGTGAGGAGAAAGTACCATCAGCTCCTAGTGCTCCGAGCGTAGCCAACCGAGCTGCGTACAGGCCGTTTCCAAGGTAACTGTGCGAAGGTGCGAAGCGAGTACATTTCAGATGCAGGTTCTTCATTTGTAGATTTTTTTGTTGTAAAAATTGACATTTTTCTTTACCTGTGTGTGTAGAGCTGATATGTGCTGTTGAACAAGTTGAACCGGGCGATGTAACTGGATGGTGCAGCGTCGATTGTTTTCTGTTGGATGGACAGTTCATGTTTAATTAGATCCCAATTTTTTACCTCAGCATTTTTAGACAGACTTGTTATCGTCAACGTTCGACTCACCTTAGACTTGGGAAGGAATGTGATCTGTGTAGATCCACCTCCTAAGTCCAGGATCCCCACTGTTCTCCTTGTGTTGGAGTACAAATGACCTGCAGGACAAGGAGACAGAGTCAACATTTGGAAGAATCTCCTTATCAGTTTAAATTCATTATTCAGAAAACGCTGATTCATCTCGAGTTCTAGTTGAAATTTGTTCCATTTGTGTCAGAAAACACACTGACACGTCACGGCCGTGGCCACCAGGAGGACACACATGCAACTGTTTTGAAGCCAGGGGTCTGTTGTTGAGAATAAATCTCTCGCTATCGCAGCTGTGTAGAAATACTGCATGCTTTTGTAACCTGTGTGAGGCCAGTGATTCAAGCTCGTGACCTCAGACAGGAGACAACAGTCCTTCTCTGGCCCAGCTCTGTGTACACTGCAGCCTCAGGTATGAGCCCCACAACCACTAACACCGGCTCAGCAAAACACAAGCAATGTCTTACCTGTGAGGAAGTTCACTGTGACCCAGGCGAGGACTCCTGAAACAGCACAAACGGTTGTAAAGTCTAGGTTAGTACAAATATATAAACGTGTATAAACTGAAGCACTCAGTACTACAACATGTACATGTTTTAACAGCATTTATTTATTCATCCTTTTTCAGACAATCCCAGCAGTTGTTGGGTGATGGCAGGACTGTTCTCCAGTCCATCACAGGACCACATATTGAGAAACTCAACCACTCACTCTCAGATTCATTCAAATTAGAGTGAAGATTTAACCCAAAGCTCGTTTTTGGACTTTGAGAAGCTGCGAAAACACCAGCATTTATCAACAAGGATCGAACTGATGATCTTCTCACTGTAAGGCATAAGCAGTTTCCACCCTACCACCGTGTGGCCCCTTTAGGCCAACCCAGGTAATTACAACTATCTCAATGTGACGCAATTGTACTCGTAAAGTGAGGGCAATAAATGGGAAACAGAACACACTGGTGACTGATGGGATTGTTGAAAACAGGCAGTTAACAGAAAACATTCATGCTTTTCACAGTAGCTCGACCTTAACTCCAATATAGTATTTCCATAAAAAAATGTAATTGGATTGAGAACCTACCTTCATTTATTCCGTTCATGATGGAAACACTGTTTTGTGGCACATAGAAAGGGGATTCGTCAAATACCTCCTGTACCTGTGGAAGAACAGGTGACACTGTTTACTGTGTTCAATATTTGGCAAGGATTAAGTGGCAATTCAAGCTTTTTCATAGGTAAATTTGTAGCGGTAATAGCAGCTATCGTTTAGCATATTTGAGGCTAACTTGTGAGCCAACTAAATTGGATTACCCAGTGTTTTACTGACAAGGCTTTCGATAGTTTACTGAATGAAATTGAGATTTTTCCGTTACTTTGTAAAATAGTTCAAAGTCAGATATAACTCTGTGTATTTGACTGCCAGGTTATTATCTTGGACTTTGGGCATTTGTACATTGTCAAATCTGCTTCCAGTTGAATGTTTGTCGACCGCAGAGCTACATGTATAAAAAAAACAATCATAATAATACATACTGAACTACACAGTCAATTACTTGGCTGCACTGTGTGGATACAGCCCTGCCAGACGCTGGAAGACAAACTGCATCTGTTCTGTGTTAGACTGACAGATATCTCAGCCACAGGCATGCCTGGAACAGTAGCTCGGATTTAATACTTTAAATGACAAATATGGTTACTCCACACAACCCCACAACAGCTGTTTTCCGCAACCAAATGGGCAGACTTGCTGCATTTTCTTTCTTTTTTTTTTTTTTCAGAGACACTTGTAAGCACTTAGTGGTTTCTCATCCCATTCCCTGGCGG